AACAGGAGCCCTCCGTGGGCTATACTCGGGAACAGGAGCCCTCACTGGGCTATACTCGGGAACAGGAGCCCTCCGTGGGCTTAACTCGGGAACAGGAGCCCTCCGTGGGCTACACTCGGGAACAGGAGTCCTCCCTGGTAGGGACTGGGACCTGGGGAAAACTGAGACACAAGAGACAGACAGAGCATATACGGTCTCATGGATGGGACAGACAGTTCTTTCACAAACGGCCTCCATAGCCGTGACAGAACAGGACGAGAGTACACAGATGGCCGCCATAGCTGTGACAGGACAGGCAAAGAGTTCACAAACGGCCTCCATAGCCATGACAGGGTAGGACGAGGATTCACAGATGGCCTCCTTAGCCATGACAGGACAGGCAGAGAGTTCACAAACGGCCTCCATAGCCGTGACAGGACAAACAGGAAGTTCACAGGTGGGTACTCAGGAATGGAATTTGTGACATGACGGGGTGCTGTTGGATCCGCCATTTTGCGATCAGGCTCTGCTGTCGCCGCCATTTTGTGAGCGTACTCTGGTACAGCCGCCATTTCAGTCACAGACACTGTGTCGCGTTCTTCCTCCGTGACACCCACAGTAAACAAAGAGCCAACAGTCAACAAAGCATAATCCATAAAATGAGCGAATGACGAACGTGGACCCTCGCATCTAAGCTTAGACCTAAGAGGTTGATTAATGCCATCACAAAAAAAACTCAGAAAAAAGAACAGTGCGCGATTGCTAAAAATTCTCTAATATAGTTCTCCAGCAATGGATGATGGGAACTGTAGTCCGGTAACAGTCTGTGTAGTGTGAGAGTCAATGTAAAGCACTGCAGTTTATCTTTGGGTGTGATGAATGAAGCTGAAATATTAGACGCTGTAGAATCTGCATTTTGTCACCTTGGAATTATAAGGTTTTATCTGACATTTTTGTCAAAATTGAGTTATTCACATTCATATTCTGTGACAACTTATTTACATTATGTGATGTTTCTTTTTTATGTTGTGTACATTTTGGGACTTTTCTTTTAGAAAACAAAAAGGTTCTATCTAACAAAGTCGAACTCTAACTTGGTTCTATCTGCGTGAGCCAATCAGCGCTTCGAATGCACACACAAGGACCAATCAGGATCAGCTGTCTTTGTCATGTCGCCGGACTGTGCCGCGATAGCGGAAGAGAGAGCAGAAAAACGCTAAATCAGTGAAGAGAAGACTAAATAATTTCACACAACGCGATGTTTATTAGAAACCTCATGATCGACTATTTTATTTATGATCTTGTCAATGACAGCAGCCCAAATTCCAGGGAATTACAGTCTTTTTGTGTGTTTTGCTGTAGCTATTGCTGAGTTATTTTCAGTTAGACACCACGCTAGCCAGCAGCGCTATTAAGGGTGTACTCACACTAGGCACGGTTGCCTTGAACCGAGCCCGAGCGCGATTATCCCCCCTCCCCACTCCCCCGCTGGCCTGCACTCACACTTGCACTAAACATTCCGGGCCGGAGCACGCTTACGTCATGTATGAGATAACGGAGAAAACCACTTTCGCTAATATTCTGCAGAATATTTAATAATAATTAATTTATCATTTATGACGTGCATTGATTTTCACTTGTATGTATCAGAAAATTATTACATGCCTGAGCGCGGCATGGAGCGCTCACACTAGTCAAACGAACCGGGCTTTGGGGGTCAAATGCGCTCGGGCGCGGTTCAAAACGCCTAGTGTGAGTACACCCTAAGAGGATAGGTCGGGGTTGTGTAGTCTATTTGCTTTATTCCAGTCACGTCATTGTCATACGAGGGAAAGTTATGTATATATTAGGTTATGTTTGAGCCTTGATCCATCCTGTGTACTTGTACTGAGCTGTATGTACTATGTAGCTATAAAGCTCTACGCTATGGCACACTGGATTAAAGTGTATACTACATTAAGTGAGATGAAATGTTAAATTTTACATTGTTGGTAAAAACTGAGTTGTTGCATAGTTGAAGTAATTTAAATATTTTAAATGTGAAATATTTTTAATTATATATAGTCAGTGAAACATTTTTCAATGTTTATTAAACTTTGTTAAACACCTTTGCTGAAGCATTGTCTGTTTTCTTGCAGTTTTTTT